TCATGAACAATCTATGATCCAGAAAGTATCATATACTTCATCGGGATCACATTATGATAATCACAATATAATACCCAATGGTATTGATCTGAAGAGAGCCGAGTCAACACCACATATAAGTCCTAATACTTTGAGTCAGACATCAATCGAAAAAACTAAAAATAATTTAGATTTATTAAATCAGGTGGTTGAACTAACTTCTTTAAGAAGAGAGTTGAAGGTGGCAATAAATGGACATTCTAACCAAGCTGAAGAATTATTGTTAAAAAAATCAATAATATCACCGCAGCCCGAGCCTAGTGGATTAGACATTCTGAGTCAGGTAGCTCAGGATATGCTTGGACGACGTGCGAAATTAACTCAAAGAGTAAATCAAAGATTGATTACGTTACAACCAGTAAAAGTCGACGAAAATATATCAAAATTAACATTTGAAATCAAGAAAAAAATTCAAAGTTCAAGGACAGGTATTAAATTTAATAATTATTATTTGTGGGACGATTTTAAACGTACCGATGGTCACATTTTAATTAATTTTTATCTATCAGGTGATGAATCTATTTTCAACCAAGTTCAAGAAATTGTAGAATCGTCAGACTTTTCAAAAGAATCAAAGGCACATTTTGTACTATCAATTCAAAAATATGCTTTAGCGTCTTCCAAGAAGAATTTGTCGAAAAAGTTACAACCTATTGTTGATAATTTACAATCTATTTTAACGAAACGAATAAATTCCCGCCTTACACAACAATTAAACTTCGTTGCTCCAAGACAAAAATAGAGTGGAAGTACAACAAAACAAAAGTGTAGATAACAGATATTGAGTAAAATTAGTAATTAAAAATTTAAAAAATTACCCTATTTTTAATTAATATTAATTTATTACAACTTCAAAAATAAATAAAATGTAAATATGATAATTTGAAACGGGATGATCATCACAGGTCCCAAGTAGCCACCGAAATGGATTACTTGTGATCTGTAAAAGTTCAAAACCTTAAAGTGATTTGGAAATTTAATTTATTAATTTATGTTAAAGATAGATAAAATTTTACCCAGTATTAAGCATACTTTAATAGAATTATTATAGAGCCTTTTGTTCTCTGACGAGAATATCTTTATCTTCTTGATAAACTCGGGAAATTTTCAACTGGGAGTAATTTAATCCGTGTTACGTTAATAAAAAAAGGTTAACTAAGTTTTAATAGTGGTTTTTTTTTTTTTTTAAAAAAAAAAAAAAACCTTTGAATCCCAGGTAAATCTTACTTATTAATTCTTATTTTTGAAAGTTTTAATAAAAAAGATTTGTTACTAAAATTAAAAAAATAAAAATAATATTAAAGTAAACCCTTGGTAATTATATCAATTATATATCTTAATGATCTGAAATATATGTTTAATATTTATATGGTGCCGGAAATCTATACTCAAAAATCACGTGACTTTGTTTCAAATTTTCTGCGAAAATCTCAAGTCACGTGAATCAAATCGACCAATAAAAACCAAGAATATTTGTGTAACAAGTAACGATCTGAATTTTAAAATGATCAATTGACAATGTTGAACTTTATGCGTACCAATATTTAAGCCAACTTCTATTAAACATGTGGAAAGAAGCAATGTTATAAGCTAAGTATTTTATTTACTATATTGTTTTTAACAATTTTTACATTTGGGACTAGTTATATAACTAACTACAATATATTTATTCCATTAATTTTTCAATGCCCTCTGGTAAACGACAGTGCAATTTATATTTGTTAACCGCTCACTCGGCAGCCCTGTCCTCTAATCCCTTGTCATATGCGTCCATGTATCTTCACGACTTGCGTGCAAACTTACGAATTGTTATTATAAAGACGCTAATAAGAACTTCTGGAACTTGTTTTAACAATTCTGTAAAACTATAACTGCATAACAGTCTGGTCTCTCGTTTTGCAAAGCCCCAATATCACTCTATAAAATTGCATTCGCAATGGAATTTTGGATATTGTTCGAAGATATATCCTGCTTTAATTATCACTTCTTCTAATATCGATCGTTGTTCACAAAAATCAGTTTGTAATGACATTATTTTACACGCACAACAGTCTGATCTTTCTGGTTCAATGTTATCTTATTTTTCAGAGCACTGCTCGTATGTTAGACGTATTCCTTTTGTTGGCCAAAGGTTACGTTCTTTGAGTACTCGTTTAATACCCTTTGATTGTCCTTTCAATTTATGATTATCCGAAAATACCATTGATTGAACACATTGTTAACGTGCAATCCTTGCGAATTGCGACAGTTAGACGGGGTGTTCGGGTGGTGATTCTTTTAAGTTTATGTAGTGGCTCAATTCAGTTTATCTCAAGATTTGTAATTTACACAGTAGTATATTCACGATAAGACTAAAAGCAAAGCGACTCGATTGATTCAGAGGTATAATAATATGTTTATTGATAAGAATAATAATAATAAAAATATGAGATAATAATAAAAAGATAAGAAAATAAGAAGTAATATGAAAAGAAATCAAAGAGTTAAAGTACTAAGTGGAATGTCAGGCCAGACGCCTCTACAAGAACTACTAGATGTGTATCCGGAAGTAAGACTAAAAGAAAACTAAAGTGAACTAAAAGCAAAACTACTCTTTTACATGATTCTATTGCTCTCTATTTATATTAAATTAATACATAGATGGATATAACAAATAAATCAAATAAATCAAATATATCTTATATGTCCGATATGTCCAAGATATCAATCATATCAAATATGTTCGGTATATCAAATATATCAAATATATCTGATATTTAGATCTGCAATATGCTGCGTCACGTTCGTCAATCCAATTCTGTTACAATATCTTTCACCATATTCATTAATGTACCAACCATCACGCATTTTAAGATGCGTTCCTCTAGAATTTAGGTTCATTCTTATTGCGATAAGAGCATCATTTGCCATAGCATTATGGTTTGTTGACTGATCAAAGCAAAAAACTCCAATGCATTTAGGATGCAATACCTCAAATATCAGAATTGTCTGATGAACGAGCTTTATTTATAAGTAGAAAGGAAAATTAGTAAACTTTTTTCTTTAAAAAAATAATGAATACATAATAAGAAAAGTACAAACCTGATCTAACATATGCTCTGATTTTCAATATTCATCTGTTTGTATAGAACGAAGAACAAAAGATTCTTTGTTTTTGATGTGTGGATTTGCTTGTAATTGTTCATCAGATAATTGTAATAACCCATGACATTGACAAAGAAAGGCCGAAACCATGATAGAGCGTCCAATGTGTTTTGAATACAGAATATCCTCATCTTTGTTTATTCAAATTTTTCGTTACCCATCATTTGCATAAAAATGGCATTCGTCATGTGTTATTTGTACCAATTCCTTCTCTTCTACCTTAAGCTGGGGTTTTAAAACAATGTCTAACATATCACCATCAAATTCTTTCATAGATTTCTTATATTCAAACATCCTCTTTAACCAATCCTTCCTATATATTACCACGTTTGGCCATTCATGCCCATTATAATAAACCCCTTTTTTTTCTCATCATACTTGTATCCCCACAAATACATATAAGTCTGACAGGTTCTTTCGAAAATCGTCTTTTTTAATATGACCTGTTAATTTTGAAAAAACCATTTCTTCGATATACGTTTTTAGACTTCTAGGAGAACGTGATTCTGGTGCTTGTTTCTATAATCACATTTGGTATTCTTCTTTAAAATCCTCATCATTTAATAAGCTTTTTAACTTTGAATGTTTCCCTTGACAATAAGGAAGAAGTTCTCCCATTTTTATAAAATAAGTTTCCCATTTTCGAATACAACATGCCATATAATCGTCCTTATTTTATATGGTTTATGCGATATTATTACTGGTTTCCATCTTTTCTTGTCTATCTAATAATAGTTGAATGAACCTACGTATGCTTAAGCGACGTAAAAGTCATAGGTATAGAGTTTTTCATTTTCTTTTGCGGATTTTAATAATAAACATTGTTGATTTATTTTTTCTAAGCGGATATGTAAGTTATTAGATAGAGATAAAGATGGTTATGATGGTTGTGACATAAGTGAAGAACTTTTTAAAGATAAAGATGAAGATAATCATGATGAAGATGATTGTTCGAAATTTCTAAAAAAGGTATCAATTGTTCTAATTTCCTTTGCATTTTCTTTTAACTTCTCTTTTTTTTTTCTTTTCTCTAGGTTGTAGTCCTTGAATTTTCGATATATACTGCTTTGATACTATGATTAGCATCTTTATGCTAATGAAGAGTTTCAGTAATAAGTTTTTTTTCTACATCTTTAAACTCTTTTAAATCTTCTTCTGTCCAATCATCAACAAAATCATCAATAAATTCAATAATCTCACTTTCTAAAGTATCTCTTTCAATGGTAAATTGATCCTGAGATACATAGCGTCTTTTTTTCTAGGTATTTAACTAACTTGCTGTTGCCTTTTTGTTTTACGTGGTATCTCAAAAGTGTAATCAAATTTTAAAAAGAAGATCAAAAAATAAATAAATAAGTCAAAAAAAAAATCAAATCAAAAAAATACCCGAGTCTAATTAATTATGATAATTTGGGTTGGCATTAAATTATTATAATGTTGGCCCAAATTATAAAATCCCCGACCAATAGAATTTCGTGCACATGATTTGATTTTGTTTCAAATTTGATCAATCATATGAAAATCACCTGACTTTAAATGCTTATAACTTTTTATGTAAT